GATTGAATAGAAATTGTGCCATTTTTAGACAAGATGGCAACTAAAAAAATTAGCCTGCATATGTAATTTTATGGTTTTCTATGAATCTATTAATTATATGAATCTTGAACATGAAATATATATATAGGCCGATAAGACGAAATGCCAGCGAGTTAATTGTTCCACCGTGCGTGTCACGGCCACAGTGCTGCCACCTCCGGACAATAGATAAACGACTCCCTGCTGCTCCATGAGATAAGAGCCGCTGACACTCTCTGGCCTCTCTCTCTGTTTTCCTGTCAGATTTTTCATAGGCAAATCCCTCTCTCACCTTCTAACTCTTTGCCATCACTTTCTGCAGTATTATGGTTCTTTCATAAACATGATTTCACAGGGATTTATTTAGATTTTTTTAATCGGTATCTTTATCCGCACCCACAAAATTTGCTACTGCTTGAGTGATTTATCTATCCACTCCTATCTGTGACTAAAGAAAACGGGCTCCTATCACGGAAGGGAACCTGTAAAAACAAAGCACAGCGACTGCAAATATGGGAATAACTGAAGCGTTGCTGCTGAAGTGAGCAGTGCTTGTCAACAAGTTTATTATGTGTGGATAATCCACTTAAAACAATATAGTTCCTGTAACTGTGAATCCCAAACCTTCGACTGAGGCATTTTGGGTCTAATGCTAGTCTAGCTCCAGTGTTTTCAATCCAGAGACCCCTGGGGGTCTGAGAAGGAAGGGCAGGGGCTCATATTTTCTTAAAATATTTTCTCTTGAATCTGTGTTATTTTAGTATCATTGAGATGCTATTATAGTTGTATTAGATTTTAGTTTTTTATTTCAAGTTTTCATTTTCATTTTTGTTAAAGGTTTAGTCATTTTTTTGTCATTTTTATTTGTTTATTTTACATGTCTATGTAGCTTTTATTCATTTTACTTTATATAGTACATCATTTTAAACTAAATAAAAGCAATTGATGTTTCCTTGGCAAATAGCTGAAATACTTTTTACTTTTTATTTGTCCTTATTTCAGTTAACGTTTATTTTATTTCAAGAATTTAAATATATATATATATATGCTTTAGTTTTAAAACTGTTTTTAACTAATAATTCTGATTTGAAAAAATGGTGTCATCCATCTTATCTTTTTGCTTCACATTCAAAAACTCCTTTGAGGTTTCAAATGAGATGCATTAGTTCGGCTGATAGCAGGGCCCAATGGCTGAGAGACATATTTTGTGTGTCAGCCATGTACTATGGCCATGTCCACACGTACACCGGTATTTTTATAAACTGAGTTTGTCTTTCTTCCGTTTTAAAAAAAATCTCCGTCCACATGAAAACGCAAACGCATGCTATGAAGCACTGTCAAGAGCATGCCAAACTAACAGGTGGCGAAATAATCTCAACCGTAAAGCCATGTTGGCCAATCAGAAGCCTGAAAAAGTCTCCAATAGGCGGAGATAACAGCGCAGGCGCCAACGTCACAAGCCAAAAACACTGGTTTCGCTGTCTACACGATAACACTGCAACCGGAGTTTTTGAAAATCTTCACCCTGGCAGGCTATTTCAAAAATGTTCGGTTTCAGTGACCTGGTGCTGCCTTTGCGTGTGGACGAACGGCCAAACAGCGTAGAAAAAGCTGCGGTTTTAAAAATAACCGCGTTCGTGTGGACAGGGGCCTGTGTAAAGAAGTTTTTGAACCAAATCACCTAACCCTGCCTTCAAGTTTTGCCTGTTTAGTTTTGGCCATCAACGGCCTTCCATATTCACATATAATTAGAACGATTATTAAAACTTTATAGTTCTAGTTATCATTCTTGATGTGAACAGCTATTAATTTAAGTCGTCACATATCACGTCACAAAATATTATTCACTAGGACTGAATCAATCTCAAATTAGCTTATATAGCCTAGTTCATAAAAATCAAACGTCTGTTTTTAATTACTCACCCTTGTGTCCATGAAATGTAAAAGGTGATTTATTGAACGAAAAATCAATGATTTTTCATTGAATATGAAAAATGAATATCGATTGAAAATGTTGTCATTTGTCCTAACTCTGCGCACGATGATAATACGTAATGACGGAATCCCGATCGAATCATTCCTTTGAGTCGGATCTTTTCAGTGATTTAGTTGATCCAGTTCGCGCAACTGCTCTGATTCATTGATGTTTTGGACTGATCCGATTCCACTTTTGATGAAAGCACACAAGCATATACATAGAAGCCTTTCCCACAATGTGGTGTTAAAGAAAAGGAAATCAACATCAATAACAAGGTTTCATTGCCTCTTTAACGTATAAATTATATTCTAACAGACATTTCAAAGTATGATAATGCTGTCGATGTTACATCACAGTGTCATACACAAATGAAAAAAAAAACTTTGATAATTAGAGGGAACTTCCTCAAACCACAAAATATGAATGAATAATTTAATCACTAAGATGTTCAGCTGTCACAGTTTAAACAACACTTTAATGTGGAATGGGGAAGTGGTTTGTTGTAGTTAAGCCAGACTAATTGGGGTATGTTGATGGAAAACATGACCTTGATTCCCTTCTATTAGTTTCCACAACTAACTGGCAATGTTACATAAAAATCATATTTCGTGCGAAGTATTTCAGAAATCTTATCAGTGACAGTCAGGTCAACAGATCTACACTGATGTTCTGTTTTCAACCACTAGAGGTCAGTGAAAAATGAACCTCCATCCACATGGGGATACATTTTCAGTTTATGCTAATTGTAACCCTGTTCCACAATTCCATGTAGTTTTCTTTTGTGTAGAATGTTAAAAATATTCCAACAGACTTTGCAGGTTAAGGTGCTTTTTAAGATATCTAAATTTATACTCAGTCATTAGATCATCTATTCAAGTCTCAAAGAGAACAAAGACAAAATAGATGAGCTGTTGTGATTTATTTGCCAATGTTTCAACAAAACACTTCCTTAGAATACAAAGTTTTTATGTAACTGCTTTAAATATAAATGGAAACATGCAGCTGGAATTCACATAAATCAGGAAATTGTTGTAATATGTTTTGTTTTGGCGTATGACATTGTTTGGTTGTTGGGCTGTTGTTGTTGTTTTGTTTGTTTTCATTGTCATGTTCCACATGAAGTGCATTTTTCAGGTGACCTTGCAAACATATCGTGTATTTAATGTAACCTATGTTTAGCAGCTATTGTCTTTAAGTCTTAATATAAGGTGATATAAATGAGTCGGTTGAATATGTGTAATATGTTGAGGAACTCCTGGGCTGGTGTAATAATAGTGCACTGGTATTAAATATAAATAAAACCAAGGAATTAGTTATCAGTCGTACTAGGCAAGATGTTGCAGTTGTGCCTGTAATGATAGAGAGTCACCCGGTTGAGATTGTTGATCATTTTAAATATCTTGGCACATATATAGACAGTAAACTGAGTTTTGTGGATAACACTAATAATAGTTTTTTTTAAATGCATGCAACGTCTATTCCTGATACGGAGAATCAGTAGGTTTGGAGTAAGTCAAAACATATTGGAGATTGCCTACAAATCATTGGTAGAGGGTGTGCTGACCTATAATTTAACTTCATGGTATGGGCATCTTAATTGCAAGCAGAAAAATAATCTGGCAAGAGTCACTAATATAGCTAGTAAAATCATTGGCAGACCATAGAATAAGTTGGGTGAGGTTTACACCTCAAGTGTTGGGAAAGCGGAGTGTATGTTAAAAGACCCAACTCATCCTCTGTGTGATCAGTTTGTTTTATTGCCCTCTGGGAGACGATTTTTAATGCCTAGCAAAGACAAATATTTATAAAAAGTATTTTATACCTGCTGCGATCGGATTTATTCATCAAAAGCTATGTGATTCACTATGATGTTTTTATGTGTTTTGTAGTATGTGTCTGTATGTGTATTTGGTTTTCGCTGGTGTGGTCAAAGACAAATTTCAACCATGGTTGACAATAAAGATGTATTGTATTGTATTGTATTGTATTAAATACTATTTATTTTATTCATGTTTTGATTATATTATTTTAATTGTGTGTGTGTGTGTGTGTGTGTGTGTGTGTGTGTGTGTGTGTGTGTGTGTGTGTGTGTGTGTGTGTGTGTGTGTGTGTGTGTGTGTTATTTC